TTTTTTAATCAGGTTACACAGGTCATTCTTTATGTGTGGTCATCTAAATTATTATTATCCCCATTAGGCACATTAAAAGTAGAGGAAGAAAAAAAAGAAAAAAAAATCCTCCAAACCAAACCCTAAAGAATCTAAAGAAATTAAAACTTAAAAACGCAACTAATAGAGATGTCACTGCTGGGCTTCCTTCAGCAGAAGCTCGAGGTTTTGGTAGCACTGGTGAAGGAGTGTTTCCTTTTATCTCTGAGTGCTGCTGAGCTTCTCACTGGGGAAGGGTCAAGCCCCTTAACACAGACAGGCAGGAAGAAAATTGTACATGAAGACTAGATTAAAGGCATTTCTTTCAGTGAAATGGTGGCCTGAGCTTGGCAGTCCATGCCTGGTACCACTTTTGAGGTCGAGTGACAGATTTGGGTGTGGTGCCTGTGAAAGCTGAAGAAGGAGAATGGCAAGCTGGAGTCCAGCCTGGGCAACTGCAAGACCAAACCAGAGCAACAACAAAATAAGTCGATGAACGAACAACAGCCAACATTCGAACTCTTGGGGAGGTAGGCGAGCAGGGACAGAGCTCTTATCTGATTGATCAAGACAGGGCCCGCAGCAAGTCTGTTCTCTTTTTAAATGAATGAAAAGCCTGTATTTGTTCAGTTCCCCCCCTAAACTTACAATGGTTATTCACTTTTTTGATGAACAAATTCTTTCTATTAACTGGAACCATGTGAAAATAATTAAGGTCATGAAATAGCAGATATAGATCATACTTGAATACAATGAATATTTCTGCATATATTTATTTCAATTCTTTCTTTGTCAAAGATGGAAAAGCAAGTGGTCAGGCTCCATTTACCTATTTCACTGGGCAGATAGTCTCCATCCTCTTTGCCTTTTGTTTTTACCTTACACTGGGTAAAATCGTGCTTATTCAGGACTTCTCCAGTCTTTAAGTCATGTTTATAGTTTGAAGGCTATAATGACAACATTACTTTTAGAATTCATATTCAGGGGATATTTTTCCACATATTTTATGTGTTTGATAGATTTTGTGCTACCTTTTAGATGGGGACTTATTGCCTTTCTGTGGTAAATCAGTCTGGTGATGTTTACAGATGAAGACACTGACAGAATTTTAGGAAAGATAACATGTGTAAGTTCCTGAACACTGTAAATGGTGGAAATAAGCCTCAAGTGCAGGAACACAGTCTGCTTTATGGAATGAAGTATTACCTAACGATCAAATTGAAAATGACAGTATTGCCATCTCCAAAAAGGATAGATTTGAAATCAAATTCTGATTACAGCTCCAGGAGTCACACGATGGACAATATTATTGGAACATGAAAATTACTATGACATATTCTGCCTGTTAGATCAATAGCAGAAATTGTAATTCTATCATTTAGTTGTGACCAGTTGAATGATGCTGATGACTCAGCTATGAAACAGAAGGCAGGCCCCAAAACGTACCTACTGAAAATTGCACTTGTTATGTTTTATTGTTACAAATGTGATGCTACCAAGGCCCTGGTGTGAATCACAAAGTGACTTACTGACCCCATCATTATTTCTATACACAACATTATACAGATCACCCCACTCCTTATTAGTTAGAACAACAAGTAAGTCTTATCTCTGTGGATGCTGTTGATTCAGCACCGTTGACTAAGCTGCATTTGGGGTTTGAGCCAGGGCTGCAGCCTCATCTAAAGGAATGACTTTAAGGAGTTTCTCCCTAATGCGCCCATATGGTGACTGGCAGAATTCTGGGACATTTTCTGAGAGTCTCAGTTCCTGGGTTGCAGCCTGAGAACTCATTTGATGGCTGGCTTCCACTAGGACAAGGCTATGAGAGACCCAGAGCAGGTGAGCAAGAGAGAAGTCACCGTTTTTCAAAAACATAACCTGCATCTCATCATGTTCTCATATCATATCCATTGACAATTAGCCTGTTAGGTTCATCCTATAAGCAGGCAAGGAAGATTGATACAACGGCGTGGATATCGTGAGGAAGAATGCATCACGTTCCATAGTGGCTGCTACCAACATTTACTGATCTTTTCACATGTCGAAGGTTTTTTTTTTTTAAATGTAGCTCAAATATTTAATTTCTTCCCATTATCTATAATACTCATAAAAATAAAAAAAAATGCTTCTTCCTTTGTGAGGCCTGTTGACGTGCTGTTCAGGAACAACAGATGTGAGTGAGGCTGGATCCAGATGTGAAGGGCACAGGGCAAGGGATCAAGTCCTAGTCTGCCTAAAGAGGGCTTGAAGAAAAATAGGTATTAATCAAGAAATAAGAGGGAGTAAGGCTATTCCAAGGAAAGGGGGAACAGATGGTGAGGAGACCTGGGGGGGAGGAAGAGTCAGGGCTGTTGTTTGACATTCACATCTATAATCCTACCAGAGTACCCACGGGTTACATTGATTCTTAATAAAGTGGGTTACAGTGATTATTAACTACTCATTAAATGTTAAGTTTATGGTTGTTTATATTTTACCAGGTTAGTTTCTGAGATTAACCCTGCATTCCCTTGTAAGTATACACAGCCACACTGCTTCCCCTCCTCATCTGGCTGCTCCAGAGATAGCATCCAGAGTGGAGTGCACAGAACACAAAAGCTTAAGCAGATTTCACAATTGATATTAATTTGTTCAATCTGTAATTCAACCTGATAATTAAATTCAAATTAAAATATTTCCTGCTTTTGATACACAAAAAAGAGTATGTTGGGGGAAGGACTGGGTTATTTTTGACTCCTGCTTCCTGTAGGCCTTGCTTCAACTGTTAATATGAACCTTGTGTAATTAACATGAAGTCCCTTAATGTACAGTAAATTGATTGTTTGGCTCTGATTTCCAATTTTTTCTTTTATAGAATTTTGGACACATAAAAGAGTAAATAGAATACTCACCATCACATCCTAACAGCCCTAACCCATATGAATTTACCAGCATCCACACTCCTAACTACCCCCCTCTATATTATTTTGACGCTTATTCCAGACACCCTATCATTTCATCTATGGATTGCTGGGGATGCTATGAATGTGTTGCTCTGATTGATTGATAAATGCTGACTGGCCAGTAGCCAGGCAGGAAGTATAGGCCGGACAAGCAGAGAAGAGAATTCTGGGAACAGGAAGGCTGAGTCAGGAGTCACCAGCCAGACACAGAGGAAGTGAGATGTAAAAGTACCAGTAAGCCACAAGCCACACGGCAACTTATAGATTAAAGAAATGGGTTAATTTAAGATGTAAGAGCTAGTCAATAGTTAGCCTGAGCTAATGGCTGAGCAATTTCAATTAATATGAGCTTCTGAGTGATTATTTTATAAGTGGGCTGCAGAACTGCAGGGGCTGATTGGGACTGGAGAAAACTCTAGCTACAATGGATAATTTGTATCTCTAAAGGATAAGCAGTCATTCTTTCTAAAGTAAAATCACAGTCCAGGTTTCTCCTGAAAAAAAGAAAAGAACAGCATTCCTTTATTGTTTAACACTGGGACATCTAGTCTCATATTTATTTTCTTTTTATAGGGATGGATAGATTGATGGAAAATTGATAGTTCTTAATCGGGGATGGTTTTACTTACTGGGAGAAACTTGGCAGTAGCAGAATTATTTTCCTTATAAGTGGGGGCGCCACTGGCATCTACTGGGTAGAATCCAAGGATCACACTAAAGATCCAGGGCAGTGGCCACATAGTAAGTGATTGCTTGTTCCACAATGTCAGTAGGTGCCACTGTTGATGTAGACAGTTGAGGATGAATGAAACGGGGTTTGGGTGGGGGGTAGGGGGCTGAGGGGATGGGGTGGTGTCAAACAGTAGCTATAATGGATAAGAACTTAAAAATAAGAGAGATACAAAATGCTAAGGCATCTTCCTAATAGCCACACTAATGACTAAAGTGGATTTATAATTGAAAAGGCAGATGAAACTTGTCTTCTTTTTTTATCATTTATTTTGTGCATGCATTCTCGTGCCATAGCACACATGTGACAGCTAGAGAACACATTCCCGGAGTCTAATCTCCTCCCACTCTGTGGCTTCCAGAGACTGAACCCAGGGTTGTCAGGCTGCTGAGTCATCCTGAGGGACCCTTATGTTCTCAGAGATAAAGATCAGGAACCTGATAATGGAATATTTGTGTCAGGTGGAAAGAAAGTAGCCCAGACAGAAACAGCACTTCTGGCTTGGGCATTGGACACAAGGGAAGCGGTGAGAAAAATATCTGACAATACAAATACAATCGGGATCTGCAGCGTAAGAACAGACTAGAAATACTTTGAATTGGTGAACGATATGTAGCAAATGGATTTCTTGTGTGTAAGAGACAGGCTGAATGCTAAATCTTGTTGGCATATTTCAAGATGAAAACTGATATTAGTTACTTTAATTCAGACAGAGTTCTGCTCATTATTCTCTATAGAGAACCCCTGGCAATAATTTACTTAGCAGGACAGTAGTTCATGCAGATCAAAGCAGCGTTATTTAAGTGTGTCCAGAGGGCAGGATTTAGCTCTGTGCCTTCTTCTTTACAGGAAAAGTGAGGAAAAAGGTTTTTTTTTCCTTGAGAGACAAAACATATTTAACTAAATAAATACTTTACGCAAGTCCAGCACTACCAAAACCTCACATGGATTCTTTCAACTATTGGGGAATAAGTTCTTCTGGGCCCCAAATCTTCTCAAGTCTGAGGGGAAAATAGAACCAAAACGTAAAATATAAATTAAACTAAGCGCAGTCTCTTCGTGTGAACAGCAACATACTTCTCCTTCCATTAAACTTGAACGTGAACGAGGCTCCAGAGAGGACATGGCTGGGGCGGGTGGCGGTTGTGACCAGGCTGCCTGAGCCTTGCCTGCTTCAGCTCAGAGACCAGCAAAGCCCAACTCTGAAATCTCAGGCAATTTGTGTAGCAGGCTCCTCCTCTTCTGCAGCCTTCTTCTCCATTGGTAAAATTCTTTTGCAGGGTCATGTAGGGATCCCACCCCTTCTCTGTGTTTTCACTCTGAAGCTCACACAACTTTACACCTGAATGAACGCCAAGCCTCTGTGGATATATAAAGGGAACCTTGGGGAGGAATTCCACAGTCAATAGTGCAGAAGCAGGGGAAAAGAATTAAGCGGCTCCTCAGCCAAGCAAATCCTCCACTCACCATGCTTCCTCCAGCCATTCATCTCTATCTCATCCCCCTTATATGCATCCTAATGAAAAACTGTTTGGCTTTTAAAAATGATGCCACAGAAATCCTTTATTCACATGTGGTTAAACCTGTTCCTGCACACCCCAGCAGCAACAGCACGTTGAATCAAGCCAGGAATGGAGGCAGGCATTTCGGTAGCACTGGACTGGATCGCAACAGTAAGTGTGTTTTACTTGTATAGATTTTTTTTTTCTTTTTGGGAGCATCAGCTGCATTCCTGTAGAGTGGTTTTATTGTATTCTACCTTTGAACTATGTATGTTTTGCAAAACAATCTGGGAGCAATCTGCTGCGTGGGTAGGCTGGCGTTTTTCCTGGCTAGTGATTTTAGAGTTAATATAATTATAACGGTGGCTTGATAATGCAAACGCAGATGTGGTTTGTCCAATACCCACTGAAAAATGAATCTATGAATTAAACTGTTGCTTCTTTAAAACTCTGCAAGAGGAGAATTCTTTAGAGTGTTGCTCTGCACAGTTTAAGGTCATGCTGTCTCACACTTTGTTAATTTCAGAACATGTACAAATTTGGTGAAGTGACTAATGGTAACTAACTAGAATTATGTATAGGGAACCACAAAGGATGAAAGAAAACTTTCAGGCAACACGAAATCGCTCACACAGATGTCTAAAATATGCCTAGTTCGGAGAGGTGTAAAGGTTGATGATGTTCAGTTTATACTACAAAATGTTAGAGAATCGTGCTTTTCTAAAATTCTTTATTCAACAGGTTAAATTGAGGTAATTGTATGTTTCTGTGAAACACTGAGTGCATATCTCTAACGGGAGATTTTAAATACTGGTATGCTAATGTGTAGCACAGGGAGTGTTCTGTGATCCCTTTTCGGTTTGCTTAATTGACAAGCCAAGTGACTACTAGTTAGAGGTATTCAAATTTCTGCCCCTAACTCTTGCTTTATTCTCTTCCTTTAAAAGAGTTCACATTAGTAATCAACTTGAAGACAGAGAGACAGTGTGCAGGAAATCTTACACAAATATTTGCCCCTCCTGTTTAAACTTCATCCAACAACGAAAAAGAGTTTTTTGACCTTAGCAAAGTCAAAGCATAATTTCTCTCTAAGAAGACCCAAGTGTTTGAATTGCCTGGAGATGGTTGATTTTGGGGGCACAGGAAGTGTCTGATCGGTACTGGGTTACTGAGCAGTGTGGTGGGTATTCATTGCTAGTGAGAGAAACGTCACCACAAAAATGCCCAATCTTATACGTCCAGGAACAAAAGCCAGGCAAGTCACAATCTCTGCTGCCTGTTTCCAGGTGCATTCCTAAGGCAGCTGCAGGAAGGTGAGCTGGAGTCAGAAGCAGGCAAGCCCAGCACACTGGCCAGCCAAACCGTTAACCCTTTCATCCCAGTCCCAGCTGTAGCTCCGTACGCACAGATGTACACACGTGCATATTTCACAGCTACACACTTCCCTGTGCCTATGAGCCTGAACTCAGACATTCTGGGGTGCAGAAATGAAGCAAGACTCCTGACTCACTGTCCACTTTGAGATTGTTTTCAGGAGTTAGACAAACGATTTCCACAGCTTTTATTAGTTTTGGTTTGGACAGTTCATCAGCCTATTTTTAAGCCTTTTTCCTGGTTAATAATAAGACTTGATTTCTTTTCAAATTTGTCATAAGCAATTCTCATTTAGATAACAAAGAGAAGGAAAACTTCAAATATTTTAAGATTAATTTTTGTTTTAATTACATAAGGCACATGACCAGAAACAGCCAATTAGAGAACATACTTATCAAATCCATATAACTAAAACAGAAAGTCGTCCATGCCTGATAGTCAGGAAATGAACACTGTGGTTCCTCATGCAGTTGTAAATCAGACATGTTAGGTATTTTTCTGCCATAAAATTCATGGAAATGTAGCCAAGTTGTTATGGCAACCATACGTTCCCAATTTAGGGGCTTTTATATTCTTTAAATATTGAGTTGTGGTGGCATTTTGCATTTCAAACATTTTACTGTTTGTATTTTTAAAACATAGTTTGGGAATTTATGTTTAGAACATAGTTATTAAGTTTGATATGCAAAATGTCAATGGTTGTACCCATATGCATGTGTGACTGTGCAGCTGAATTCTATAATTGAAATAAAATATTACAGCGTGCATATGCACTGTACACAATATTTAAATACTTTCCACATTTTCTCAAGAGATTTTTGAAAAACTTAATTAAAAGCACTTTCAGACATTAACCAATATGACCCATGAGAGCAAAAACATTAAAGTGTACTCTTTGAAGAGTGAATATTTACAGGAGTGGAAGGAACCCTTATTGGGAATGAGACTATAAGAACTTGACTTTTAGATACTTTAATAAACAATCAGTTAATGAAGCAATGTAAAAGAATGAATCTCTTTCTCCCTCCCTGTCCCACTTCCTCCAAAATAGTTACAGACTGTATGTAGCCTGGTCATTTTGATGAAAGTGTCTTATAAACCCTCCCCCACTCCCCGACTTGCATGGTGAAAATAAAGTACATAGTCCTGCAATTTGGATTTTTTTTCTTTTTGTCATTGCAAATTACTTAAAACGAGAACAAAATCCCAAACACCTTCAGTTGCTTTTTGTGTCTGATGCAGTTCTGTCCTGTTTCCTCTAGGTCGAGTTCAAGTGGGCTGCCGGGAGCTGCGGTCCACCAAATACATTTCCGACGGCCAGTGCACCAGCATCAGCCCTCTGAAGGAGCTGGTGTGCGCCGGCGAGTGCCTGCCCCTGCCGGTGCTTCCCAACTGGATCGGAGGAGGCTATGGAACAAAGTACTGGAGCCGACGGAGCTCCCAGGAGTGGCGGTGTGTCAACGACAAGACGCGCACCCAGAGAATCCAGCTACAATGTCAGGACGGCAGCACACGCACCTACAAAATCACGGTGGTCACGGCCTGCAAGTGCAAGCGTTACACCCGCCAGCACAACGAGTCCAGCCACAACTTTGAGAGCATGTCGCCCGCCAAGCCCGCGCAGCACCACAGAGAGCGGAAGAGAGCCAGCAAATCCAGCAAGCACAGTCTGAGCTAGGACGGGACTGACTAGAAAGCAGCTGCTCCCCAGATTTGATGGCTTGCAAGACTGGGGCCTGCAATTGCTCTTTTCTCACTTGAAAGTGTATACGCCTTCTGCTTTGATCAGGCCCACAGGCTGTCCTTCTCTGGGACCTTCTCTGGGACTAGCTTTTCCTTTGCAAGTTTCTCAAGATGTAATGAGCACAGTGAAAGCCAGGCATCCTGTCGTTTCCATTCTTAAAAAGCACCTGATGCTGTTTAAACATCCTCAATTTACAGTTTAAAACGCGCCATTCCCTAGCACACCCTTACCTTTCCCAAACACAACCCCTTCAAACCAGAAAAGTTTATCAAAAAATGTATCTTCACAAAACGTTTCGGAAAGGGCCTTTTCCAGTGATTTTCATGGGAATAGTCTGGCAGCCAGGGGTTAGCTTCCCTTGAAAGAGAGGCAAACCTTGTGACATTTCACTTCAAAAATAAGCCCTGTAGCTTTTTACAGACTCAGTGTGAAATTATACCCTGCATGTTGACCTCGCTTGGAATGGAATGCCAGCAATGCATGGCAGCAGCTAATAAGTAAAGCTGATTATTTATTTTTCAATGTTGTTATTTAATGAGCTTTCACATGTGATTTTTTTCAAAATGTTATTTTTTTTTAATGTTTTGAAGCTTTTTCATGTACCTAAACATTTCCCAATATGATTTGTGGTCGGTCTAGAAATATGAAAATACGTGTTGTAGATATGTAAAGTAAGTATTCTAGTCTCCTCATATATTACTTGTTTCATCATGAGCTTTGTCAGTAGCATGGTTCTCTGTAAAGCTGAAATATGTACACTTGATTATTTAGTCCATGCAATCAGAAGTCAGCTTGACCTCGAATGCCATTGGTTTCTTTTAACAAATATAAACATGGCTAAATGTTATTGTCCTTGCCTCTATAACATGTATAAAAAGGTACATGCTTGCAAACATTGTAAAATAAAGTTATAAGTGTACCTGGCTCTTCTTGTCGCTGCTGAGGATCAAAATTAGGGCTTAGTAAGTGCTGAGCCCCCAGACCCAGAAAAAGTCACATTCAAGCTCTGATAGAACTATTTGCATTAAAAGAGGGGAGATAGCAGGAGGAGGGGAGGGGGATTGAGTTGCAAGGAGCACAGCAGATTGATAATCTCTGGGTGGGAGAGGGCATTGAAAGGCTTCCATCAGAGTTCCTGCACAAGTTCTGGGGGTAGAACTCAGTTTTTAAGTTTTCCGGGTCATCTCCATGTGCAGCTAAGTTTGAGAGGAAAGGAAGAGAAATGGGTACAACATCCTACCTTGGGGAACTTTGAACCCTCTTACATGGTCCCAAATCACAAAAGGAAAAGAAAATTTCTAAGCTAATTTTATAGTTTCCTCAGGTTCATACCATTAGACTAAGTAACATAATGATAGTCTTTGGCTGGATCACCTGCTTAGATGACTGATGATAATTCAAGCATGGTTGGTCCCTGCTCCACAGGAGAAAAGTCAGAGAGGCCCGCTTTCCGCTAGCTGATGGGTAAGGACTCCTCAGTTCTCCTTAGGGCTGGGTTGGCATCACATGTGTACACAGAATGCTGTCAGACTAAAACAGAGAACAGAAAACAGCTCCAGATGATGAATGCCAATCTGCTATTGATTTATTTCCAGATCTTAAACTGCTTTACAGTACGTCATATCAGCGCATGGGACATCCGCAATTATTTTATTACACCAGAACATGTCGTTTCATGCCCCGGTCTTCTTCGCTGAATCACAGGAGCTTGTCCTGACAATGGCTTTTCAGACCCAAGAAGACCCTGCCTTTCACTAATCAAACACTGAGTGAAGGTCTCAGTGAAGACAAAGCAAGAGCAGATTCTGATTAATTAGGACACAGGGCGTGGAATAAAGTGAGCTCACAAACCATACTTCCAATAGTCTCCACTGAACTAAGAAGTGGATCTGTTTTCCACGTTCACATTCAATTTGCCGGTCTACATCCAGCCACATTGCACTGGCGATATGCTCAATGTGTGATATCTAATGCTGAGAGGAAAAGGTCAGCAACCAGCTGGAAAGGTCTAGGGCACAATCTCTTTCAGTGAAGTAAACTGAAAAGTCAACAGAAGGGGCCAGTTTTAGTTATTATCTTTAAAAAAAGATGTTGTGCCTGAGTTGCCATTTACACATTAGGTCTCTTTAAACAGTTGACTCAGGCTGGTGAGCCGTACTTAACTTTATTATCACCTTAGTAACTACCACTTCAAAATGATAGACTGTGGTACTTTTAGCACGGAATGTCTTCTAGTTTACTCTCAGAATATCGACCCCCCAAAGACACTTATTTATCACTTTTATTTATCAAGCAATTATTTTGGTTGCTATGGGTAAAGGGACTTTTTAAGTAGTTTGATAGATAGGTAGATGGATATACCGGACAGCTATATACACATGTACATTAGTAAGAGTAGGGAAGAATAACTGCCAGTACACATGCAAATGGATAACATGTACACCTAGAACGGACACAGAGCCTTTAGACAGTCTGTCTGCTGGGCCAGCGACGCAGTGCCTGTTGCCAAGTCCGGCGGCCTGAGATCAATCCCCAGGGCCTCCATGGCAGGAGGAGAGAAGTCACTTCCACAAGTGGTCCTTTGACTCCTGCACGTACGTGCTTGTCTGCATACCCACACAGCACGCTAAATTAACTAACTAACTTTAAATCTGTTTATAAAAAGTTAATTTTTTGTACCTAGCCACTATGATTTGCTAACTATACTAACTGGAACTAACTAACTAATGAGTCTGCACTTGAGAGTGGAGATGGGAGGACCGGAATGTCAAGACTGTTTTCAGTCACGTAGGGAGACTGACGCTTATCTCAAAACAGCAACAATAAATAACAAAAGATAATAATCAGAACACTTTGTTAACCATCTTTATTCTATTGGATTAAAAAAATCCATCAAATTTAGTGTATAGGTATGCTTAATTAAGAAGACTGACTCTCTGATGGAGATACAGCTCAGTTAGCAGAGGGCTGGTCCAACATGCACGAAGCTCTGGTTCAGTCCCAACGTTACAGAAAAGCTGGGCATGGAGATGTATGCCTGAAATCTCAGTGTTCAGGGGGTAGAGGCAGGAAGATGACAACTTTAGGGTCATCCTTGGCTACATAGTGAGTTTGAGGCCAGCCTGGGCAACATGAGACCCTATCTCCTAAAAAGAAATCCAAAAGCAAGAAAAAAAAAAAATCCCAAACCACAAAAACCCAACCAACCAACCGACTGAACAAACAACCCAAAACTTGGTTCATTCCTGTCCTTTCTTAAATGCGTAAAGGACAATGGAATATTTTTTTGTGTAATGTGACATGTCTATCAAATGTGGTGTTTTTATTGGACACCATTTAATGTTTGCATGAAGAAGTTGTAAGTGAAGAAAACAGTACCTAGCAGCAGGAAAAATTTTTAAAACTTACATAATATTGAAAAAATTCAAGTGCTTGATAGCTTCTTTTTAATATTTGAATATGTTTTTTTTACCATCATTAGGAATCTCTAGGTATTAAAATCTCATTCATTTTATTTGAAATTAGAGCATTATTTGGATTACATTTAAATTTCAACAACACTTGTTAGTCTTAAAATAATAATTAATTCCATACCCTAAACTTAGCGCTTATGAGCTTTTCTAGTAACACAATCTCAGTAAGCAATGAAAGTCATGTATGTGGTCACCAACAGATATTTGAATGAATAAGAAAATCTGAATATTTATTCAACATCAAAGAAGAAAGAAAACGGGCCAGTGAGGTGGCCAAGTGTGGGTATCACCAAGCCTGACATATGAGTTAAGTCCCTGAAACCCAGCAGCAAGCTGGAAAGTGGCGATGCTCCGTGGCCTCTGCTTCAGTTCTGCCTCCAGGTTCCTGAGTTGCTTGAGTTCTTGGTTTCCTCCAGGATGGACTATGATCATGTCATGTAAGCCCAGTAACCCTTCCTTCTCTAAGGTGCTTTTGCTTATGGTGTCTATCACATCAATAGAAAGCAAACCTGGAGAAAACCCTTCCTCAAGAAAAAGAGATTTATTTTATTTTTATCTGTGTGTATGTATGTGTCTGCATGTGAGTATGCCAGACCTGTGTATGTTGTCGGTTGTTTTATCCTTTTGGCTCTTTGTTTTTGCTCTTTGGGGTTGCCTGTCACCCAGCCCCCAATAAACACATGGAGACTTATTATTACTTATGAATGCCTGGTCTTAGCTTGGCTTATTTCTAGCCAGCTTTTCTTGATTTAAATTATCCCATCTATCTTTTGCCTGTGGGCTTTTACCCTTCTCTATTTCTGTATATCTTTTCTTTCCTGTGTCTGGCTGGGTGGCTGGCCCCTTCTTTTCTCGCTCCTTCATCTCCTTGTTCTCTAGCTCCTTCATCCTCTCAGATTTTTCCTCTCATTTATTCTCTGTACTTGCCAGCCCTGCCTATTCTTTCTCCTGACTTGCTATTGGCCATTCAGCTCTTTATTAGACCAATACGGTATTTTAGACAGGCACAGTAACACAGCTTCACAGAGTTAAACAAATGCAACACATCTTTACATCATTTAACAAATGGTCCACAGCATAAACAAACATAACACATCTTAAAATAATATCACACAACATGTATATATGGGCGACAGATCCCTTGGAGCTGGAGTTAAAAACTGCTGTAAGTCACCGGATGTGGGTGCTAATAATTGAACTAAGGCCTGTTGTAATAATCTAAAACACTCTCCTGAACCACTAGTGCAGCCTGCCTCCTGTTTCGGTTCTAATTGTTGTGTGTGTGCGTGTACACTCATGTGGCCAGCACACGTGAAAGGCAGAGGAAGATCTCAGGTGTCACTTCCCACCACCCATCTTGGGCCTCCTCTTTGTCACTGTGTACACTAACCTGGCTGGCCTGCAAGCTTCAGGGATTCTCCTGTTTCCACCTCCTGTGGGATCACTGAGGCTACACACACGTGAGACTGCTCCGGCCTTCTGGAGACCCAAACTCAGTTCTTAACAGCTGCTCAGCAGAGGCTTTACACGGAGCCATGTTCTCAGCACAAACTCTCCTTTGAGTTGCTTTGTCATGGATTTTATAACAGCAGTGAAGCAAGTGCTTAATCCGAGAGAGCCATGGTGCCTATGGCACGCCTGCATCAAACATCATACCAAGCCCCATCGCTTCCTACAAACAAGATATGTAATTTTAAAAAGCATGGCAAGTGGGATCCTGATAGAAAGAGTTCAGTGTGAAGGTGACTCCCAGAGGAGAGCATCCTCTTTTTTTTTTTTTTTTTTTTTTTAATGGAATTCCTTCCCTCAAGAACAGAGAGAGATGGCTGCCAGCATGTTTCCACTAGAACTTACCTTGAATTCAAGTTGTCTGTCTCCATTTCTGAGCTAAGCACACATTTGGCAAGTAGCAGTCTTTGTGACATCCACAGAGAAAGGCTGCTGTAGTGGAGAGCCCGGCAGGCATTCTGCTTCCCGGTGTTTGTAAACCATGCACTCTAACAGTGTATTTGGTACATTAGCCTGGGTATTTTATGAAGAGTCTTGAAAAGCTATGTCATAGGTGTTACAGCAGAAATCCTCATGGGGAGATGGTTCATTTTCCAGGTTCAAATATTTAGTAACATGAATTAATGCCAAGCTGACTGCATAATCATTTCCAGAGCAAATCAGACCAAAGGGTGGTGTACCACCAGGCCTAGCCAACTTGCTGAATTATTTTCTGTTAACAGATGAATCAAACAGTTGGAGGATTTCTATAAAGAAATGAAATACTTTCTATAACTTTAGTAACTGGAAACCAAGAGCTGCCTTGTATTACTGATTTTATTTTCAGCCATGGAAATAAACCAGAATGTTTAAATTGAATGACATTGTTAAAGAGGCCCAGGTATTTTATCCATAGTTTAT